CATTTTCAGCCTCAGTGTTCTTTTTTATCCATTCTGATTTACATTGTCTTCACATCTCAAGCTATGAGTCCATTTATGCACAGCCTCTTTCTCCCTGGCCATGCTGCATTTCTAAAATGTACTGCTTCTGAATATAGACAGAGAGAGAGTATTGCTAGAGGGGTGTGATGGGACAAAGCCAATCCTTACTATCACAAAGGGCATATCTCATGAAAAGAAGTGGGGACAGGTGTTTGTTTGTTTTTAAGGAACCTGAGATAACCTCAAAATCCCTAAGAATGTGTAAAGTTTCTAATATTGCCTGCCTATTAGACCACACCTCTATATTTTAAGGGTCAGGTCCTTGGCTTTTTTTGGTTAGACATAATATAATACATGTTGCTTCCAGTGCAGTTATTTTGCATCTTCCATTAGTATTTCAGTGACAGATAAGAGAGGATAAATAATAGCTGGTGGCAAAAAATTAAACAGCTTCTAGATTTCACATTTCTATTTTTATTTTGGGAAGATTCCTCAAATGCATTTTAGAATGAGGATTTATAATTAGTATCAAACTAAAAAAATAGAACACATTTCACTTCTTACAAACATATATGAAGATTTAATGAAGAATCTAGAATTTATTAAGCTCTGTTTCCAACCCTCTTTCTACTTACTACTGAAAATACTAAATATCCTTGTGACCGTCATGAGGAAATGACAGGTATTACACATCTCAACTATGAGTGGATCCAAACTAGAAACAATCCCGGGAAAGTTTTATATTCATGGCCCACTAAAGATGCAAGAGTATTCCTACCTGGATAACATGATGAGATAGTTGACTCTGGTGATTTTACACTAGTTTGCAATTAATTTTGAAACAAAAAATCTGAGAAAAACTATAGTAATGGGGCTTAGTAAGTATTTCTTCCCCAGTTAGTTTAAAACACATCTAAAATGACTGCAACATACCCAACACATCCACAATCTGGCTTGTTCAATCAGCTCTCCCTCCTCATGCAGGCCTGTTCTTCCTAGGTTGTGACATTCTGCTAAAGCCATTAATAGCAACATTCTACTGCCCATGACTTCCTGTTCTAAATCCTGTTGCTATTCTCCTTCTTTTCTCTACCTGCATTATTTGAACCCTGTCATAATTTTTGTAGTTTCCCGACACTACTTATTCAGCTTTTACTAAAATCTGATCCTTCTTGAGCCATTTTCTTTGTCCATTTCCCAAGGCTCTTGTTTGCTCAAATACTCTGTGAAATAGGACTCCGTGAGGCCTCATTACGATTTCACAGGCATAGGGTTGATGACCTATTTGATCTTTAAACGGAGCCATTCTGAGGATATCCTCTCAGCACTATAGCTGGAAACAGAAAAAAACAAAACCAGAAATTTTAAGAACAAGAAGAGTGTTTTGCTTCGTGGTTTGGTTTAATCCCTGTATAATTGGGCTCCTTTGGTAGACATCCCAGAATGGTGCCAGAAGTATTCCTAAGATGATAACTCTAGCTGTGAATTTATCCAATACAATGTAAGTGTCTCAGTAAATCTTTGCAAATTCTAAGAAGCATGCTTTTTTAAAATGCTGGGTTTTCCTGTGGTGATAATCCATTATTCTAGCACATTGATCAAAGCCCCCCAAAATGTTGGTTGTCTGTAAGCCAAATCCTTATTCCTTCCCTCGCTGATTTTGTACTGAGGATGAAGCTTAAACTGGGCCATGGTAATTCAACACAATTGTAAGCTTATATTGGTCAGAGTCCCAAACTGCTCTTTCACTGGGAATGGTAAATGATAGACCAAACAGATGGGCAAGCGAGTGTTTATGTGCACTCACAAAAACATCAACAGAAAACTCTGGTACAGACCAGGGATTTTTCAACACTGGGCAGCTCTTGAAAGCCTGAGGCCATATCTGTGCTGTCAAGGCACAGCTTGGTATGAGCAAATCTGAGACAATTGCCAGCTTTCCATCCAGACAGAGTGGATTATTTACAAGAAACACAGACACATTATTTTCTGGGACCCATGGAGAAACCTGTTTTTTCTGACTTACCTTTGCACGCTACAGTAGCTTCAGGGCAGGTTTCTAGACAAAACTGGAAAGCTCTTCAGACAGAAAAGAGCTACTGCATAGTTGTATTTTGAGGGATAAGAAAAAAAAGGCCCTCTAGCTCCTGTTATAACACATAGAACCCTTCTGTTATTACCAACTGCGTAAAATTCATACATTTTGATTAAGGCTACTTTTCAACCTCCATTAATTATTAGCTGTCATTTAGGACAAGCTTCTTAACATTTATGAGCCTTAATTTATTAATTTTCCAAAGGGGTAATATGTGGATATTATAGAATTGCTTTGAGGGCTACATGAAACAATTCATATAAAGCAGGGGTCCTCAAACTTTTTAAACAGGGGGCCAGTTCACTGTCCCTCAGACCATTGGAGGCCCGAGTATAGTTTTAAAAAAAACTATGAACAAATTCCTATGCACACTGCACATATCTTATTTTGAAGTAAAAAAAACAAAATGGGAACAAATACAATATTTGTATTTGCATGTGGCCCGCAGGCCATAGTTTGAGGACCCCTGATATAAAGTGCTCAATACAGTTCTAAAAAGTTAGTCTTATTGTTGTTGTAATTATTATTACTGCCATCATCATTAGTCGCTTACGAATCCTATGACTTTGGGAGTGCTCAGTCCTCCTTGGTGGCAGGAGAGGGGAGGAAAATCCATCAATGGAAGAAACTCTAGATGTTAGTAGCTCCGGCCCATGCATAACAGTGACCTGACGAACGTGCCTGTCCGTCACCAGGCCTGGGGTCTGCCCATAGAGCAAGTGAAGCCACGGTGATACATTCAGAGCCTGCACCTGTGCTCTGCCTGTTCGCATGTCTGTGAGGCACACACCTGCAGTGTATGCAAAATTCTCCACATTGCAACTTCAGCAAATTTCTAGAAAATTATCACCGGCGGCCAAAGCTCTATGATTTCATCCATCACGCACAGTCAGAGCTCCTCCCTCTACTGTACCTCACTCTATCCCGAACTAACATCATCAGCTATATGTGACTTATTTCATCAATAAGCCCGCAAGCCG